AAATTGATAACAAAGAACAATTAATTAAGCTTTTAAACGAATTTAGAGATTGCTTTGCCTTTAATGTTAGTGAGTTAGGATGTGTTACTGAATCGGAAATGAACATAAAATTAAATGATGATACTCCTGTAGTGTTACAGATCATACCGATTATCTCAAATGGAACGCGAACAAGTTAGAGCAATGGTCAAGGAATCGGAAGACACTATCAGGCAGTCTTCTTCTGAATATGCATCACCTATACTCCTTGTCAGAAAGAAAACTGGAGATTATAGACTCTGTGTCGATTATAGGGCTTTAAATAAAAAAACTTGTAAGGATCACTACCCACTACATATAGATAGACGACCAAATAGATAATTTATCAGGTTCCAAATACTATACTTCTTTAGATCTCGCATCTGGGTACTACCAGATTCCAATGTCCGAATCTTCCAAACACCTCACGGCCTTTGTGACACCGGACGGCCATTTTGTGTTCAACAGAATGCCGTGCGGACTTGCGAATGCGCCGTCAGTATTTCAGCGAACCATTAATAATATTTTAGGAAATGCGCGATTTAAAGAAGCATTTGCGTATATGGACAACGTGATAATCCCCTCGAAAAGTCTTGATGACGGTTTTTTAAAACTGCGTGAGACGTTGGCTTTATTTCGACAGGCAGGATTAACACTTAAACCATCTAAATGTAACTTCTTTAAAGAATCTGTTGAATATCTTGGGTTTGAAATTAATGAGCATGGTGTAAGACCAGGCTTAAGAAAAATTGAGGCAGTCAATCTATTTCCAGAGCCTAAAGACCCGCATAATGTTAGACAATTTCTTGGGCTTGCTAGTTTTTTTAAAAAGTTCATTAGGAACTTTTCGAATATTGCGAGACCTCTCACGCAACTTTTGAAAAAGGATGTTGGGTGGCACTGGGGCACTGCTGAGCATGCATCCTTTTTGACATTGAAAGATGAACTAATCAAAAGACCAATTCTTGCATTTTTCAATCTATCTTACGAAACGCAATTGCACTCTGACGCTTCCAAAATAGGATTAGCCGGAATTCTCCGCCAAAGGGCGAATAAAGAATTCCCCTTTACTGCCGTGGCATATTATAGTAGACAGACCACACCCGAAGAAAGTAGATTCTTCTCGTATGATTTAGAAACATTAGCTTTAGTTACATCACTGCAACGCTTTAGAGTTTACTTATTAGCTATCAATTTTACAGTAGTAACAGATTGTAACTCCTTACGAGCCACACTTGATAAAAGAGATATGTTGCCAAGGGTTGCTCGATGGTGGAACATAATGCAAGAGTACGATTTCAGTATTGTGTGCCAGGATGCTCAATGAGCCATGTAGACGCTTTAAGTCGCAATCCAGTAGACTCGGAAAAGGGATCTTTAAACGTTGGAACTGTTGATAGTGAGTGGATTGTGACTGTCCAAAGAAGATATTAAATGACACTAATACAGAAAACGTAGTTGAAATTAAAAACAATTATTTAGTCAAAAGGGGACTTTTGTACAGAAAAACACAAGAAGGTGATCGCTGGGTCGTGCCAAAGGGAGTTAGGTGGCAAATACTTAAGGCTAATCATAATGACATCGGTCATTTTGGTTTTGATAAAACATACGATAAAATAAAAAGTCAATATTGGTTTCCTAAGATGAGCAAATTTATAAAAAAGTATGTAGAGTCTTGTCTGGAATGCGCTCACACTAAAGTACCGTCAGGCAAAAAGTCTGGGAAATTGCATCCTATACATAAAGTAGACGTTCCCTTTGATACGCTCCATATTGACCATTTAGGTCCTTTTGTTAGAAGTAAGAAAAACAACTCGTACATACTCTTGATTATAGACGCCTTTACTAAATTTATTGTTCTAATGCCAGTTAAAAGTACCAAGAGTGTTCATTCAGTAAGAGCAATAAAACACTATTTTCATACATTTAGTGTGCCAAAACGGTTGATATCAGATAGAGGAACATCTTTTACATCAAAACGGTTTAAAGATTATTTAAGTTCTCTGGGTGTGAAGCACATTATGAATGCAGTAGCTACACCTCGCGCAAATGGTCAAATTGAAAGGTACAATAGGACCCTCCTTGCAGCCCTTGCTGCCAAAAACTTTAACAAGCCTGAAAATCTGTGGGATGAATGCATTACTGAAATTCAGTGGGGTTTAAATAACACATTTAATAAAGGTACCAATAAAACTCCCGCAGAAGTTTTATTTGGTATTAGAATGATTGGCACTCCCGATGCAATGATCCACCTTAACATTTCTAATGAATCTGTAAATACTAACACCAATTTAGATTCTGTTAGGAGCGAAATTACTCCACACATAGAACAAGCTCAAGCTAAATAGAAGGATCGTTTTGACCAACGTAGGAAGAAGGTAACTTTTAATATCGGTGATCTGGTACGGATTGAAAGAGAGGTTCCTTCTACTGGAAAAAGTAAGAAACTTATTCCTAAACTTCGTGGCCCATATCGCATTAGTAACGTTTTAGACAATGACAGGTATCTTATAGAAGACACACCGTTATCACGCAAAGGTAACCGACCATTTAGTGGAGTATTTGCTGTGGATAAAATTCATCCTTGGCTGGTTTATAGTAGAAGCCATGATAGCACTGATTCAGATAGTGAGGACGATTAGCATGTCAATCAATGACCATATTATTAAGTATGTTTACATTAAGCATAGCCATCGTGTCTTATATCATAAATACTTTGAGTTTAATAAGAACATATTAATATAGTTATAGACAAGTATTAAAATACATTCAATTGTTTGTTCTTATGATTGTTTTAAATGGTAAATTGATATCATAATTCATAAATTGTGTCCTTGTGTCGATAGAGCGACTAGTGTGGTGATAATGTTTTTGCAAAGTAAATAAATAAATATTGTGAGAATTTAAATAACATTTACTACTGTTGGGATTGTTGTGGATTTATAGAGGTCACCAGATTCCTCAGTTTTTAATAAATAAATTCTTATGGATATGTAGAGGCCATGGGAATTTCAATAAGTCGTAAGGGATTCATATGGATATAATAGAGGCCATAGAATTCCTAATTTATAAATTAAATTCTTATGGATATGTAGAGGCCATGGGAATTTAAGAACGTTTTAAGTTAATTCTTATGGATATATAGAGGCCATGGGAATTTAAGTACGTCATAAGTGGATTCTTATGGATATGTAAAGGCCATAGGATTCTTATTATATTACTGTGTCAATTATTGTGAATGTACTAAAATGTTTATTAAAATGAGGATACATAATGTCTGATTTCTTATGTCACATTATTATACAATATTTATATAAAACATTTAATTTAATTGTTATGTGATTTTTTGGTATTATATGAGGTTTTTTTTTATTAATTAGCTTTTCTAATGATCAATGTAAGACAAAAGGTAGAATAATACTTTATAATTAAAAAGACGTGAATAAATGTCAGGAAAGGCCGACTGTTAGCAATCGATGTAAATATTGCTGTCAATTAATGTAATTGGGTAGTATGAACTTGGTTGTAAGTTGCTTATTTGACTTTATCCGGTCGCGCGACTTGCCGTTGCCGCGCAGAGTCCAAAGCAGATTCTGCTATCCCTACGTGAAGTTGAAGCTCCAGGGTCTCTCTTCCATGTTGGATCGATGTGTTAACTTTACTTTGCACTACAACCTCTTTTTGCATATGTAACTTATTTTTTTTCTCACTTGCTTCGATTAGCGTCTGAATACCGTATTTTTACTGTAACTGTCTTCCAGTATAGGTACCGTGTTATAAATGTAACATACACCTGATAGAAAAAGTTCGTCATTTTGTATAGAAAATAAAAACCAACTTTAAAAACTTCAATAAGTTAGACGAAATATTTGGAATTTGGTAGTAAAGTCACAGTTTTAATAAATAATTAATCCTAAATCAATTAAAAAATATTTATTAATGTAATGTTATTGATAATAATTTATGTATGTAATGTTACATTACAACCCTGATGATGTGTGTCTATCATAAGCCTATAACCATTTGGTATGTAGTATGTGTCATTTTTTGATAGTAGTAATTACTTTATTATTACACGGGCCCTCTCTTTTTTTAAGTTGTTTCATGATAAGAAGATTAAAAAATCCCTAGAGATTAAATGAAATATTTTTAAAGATAAATGATTGCTTTAAGAGTTCATTTTTAAAATTTTCTCCTTAAATAAGTATTGTAATCGATAATCTGCCCAAAATGCGGCTAAGCCTACAATTTCCCATGTTTTGGGGAAAACAGCCAATTTTCAAAGTGCTATTTATAGCAGACTATATTTTAAAATGTATCAGACTTAATGAGTTGAAATGGCGTAATATTTCAGAGATTTTTGTCTACATTAAAATGTAGAAAGTGACTTTAAAGACAAGGTGGATTTTTGAAAAGGTATAAGCGTGAAGCTAAAAAAAGATCATGAATTTCGAAGTTTTCGGGGCACCACGCAAGTAGCACAGGTCTTTTGAAGCTGCAAAATTTGTTTTAACATTGTTGGTAACTATCTTAACGTACCAAAAAATCAGCAAAGTGCAATTTATTGCAATCTACGATGTCTTATATCACTGGTCTAATATTCATGAATTAAGAATTTTCTGCTCTTTCATGAAACATTCTTCTTAATATAATCAATATTTATTGCAAACATATAGTTTGCAATAAATATTAAGGAAAAATTTCATCCAAATCGTTCAACTTTCACATTTATAATAATTTCAGACGGATTCATTTTAGGAAAGGTATGCAATATAAAGAAACAGAAAAAGAAACAACGTTTTCAAAGAACGGGGAACCTAAAAGACTCTGTATAGCAAAACCATCATTCGTCATAAACTTTGTGGTATCCATGTGACGATAATACACTTCCTCATTTTTATGATCGTAGAATCTTAAAGTGTGGCAAATTAGTTTGCTATCGCCGAAATTGGGTGGGTGAACTTATATCTGGGCGGGTTCATCTGGGGTGGCAGTTAGCGGGCGCGGGTCACGCGTCCAGTGGGTTCGCGCGCCAGAGCTACCCCAGCGCCATGCCTCGCCGGAGTGCGCGCGCGCCGCGCCTCGCCTCTCTACCTACGATACTTTTCATCTCAACCGTGCTATTTTCCGTCCCAGTTCCTGCTTTTCCGCAAACCAATAATGTAAGGCGAAACAATTCCAACAATGTTTTTCCAAGATTTCCCATTTTTCTGATATGCACTAATCGTTCCTTTTCTTTTGTAGCTATACGTAGTTTGTAAGGAGCCTGATTCTCTAGTCTGTTTAGCTTGGCCTATAGATTTGGAAGACTTAATAGTGACAAAGGGATTATATGAATCTGATGGCAGGGAATGTGGCCTGAGCAATCTAATACCGATACCGCCACACCGAAGATTTATTGTGGTGAGTTGTTCCACAAATTTAAAATTATTTTCTTCGCTAAGCAAGGACTAAATTGTTTATGTAGAATAAGAATTATTATCTTAACTTCCTGTTTTTTTTTTCTAATGAATTAAGTTCAAAACCATTTTTATCAAGTTTAATGCTCTGCGAACTCTTTATCATACATTAATGCTTTGCGCGCTGAACTCATTGAGAGTAGTTACTAAGCTACAAAATGCTTAAGTAGATACCTAAGATATTTAATATTACGAGAGATGGATAAATCATTCGGTTATTGAGATTGTGTCGGGGAAAATAATACGCTCGGGAATGTAAAGTAACATTAATAAATTTGTATAACTACATTTAATGGTTGGTTTAATTTCGTTGTATGTTATCAATATAACCAAAAAAATGTAGAGGTCTAAAATAGAGATATGCAAGTTTGGTACATGATAACCCATAAAACGTTTCATTTTTCAAATAATTTATATGTTGGGAATCCCACTGAAACTCATATTTTTTGGTAAAATACCGTATTAGCAACTAAATCCATGTAAGCCTAGCTGAATCTCGACATTTTGCGTAGTTCGTTCAAATATTATACTTCTATTTAATGCCAGGTTTTCTTTCATCAAAAAATCATAAGTTTGTGTCAAACGCATAGATTATTTTAACATTAATGTTTTTATCTAAAGAAACATGCTTTAAAAATAATAAAAATTATAATTAATGTTTTTTTATAATTTATTACCTACATACACATTTTCTTTAGAACTTAATAATACTGACTTGTTAATCGTCGTGATGCAATATTATAGCATTATAAAACACTTATTAAGTCTACGATATTTCTATTTTAATAATGATAATATAGGTAATGTTATTTCTTATTAAGGTCTAAATCAATACCTAAATAGGTAAGTTGTATTATAAGTAAATAAAACAAATAAATGTGTGTCTAATAAGGTAATAAGTCAAATTATCTCTAAAAATCATTGAATCAATTTTAATCGGTACATTAATTACTCTTTCAGTGCGTGTCTAAGAACTGGTACAATAGCGATAAGGCAGACTCAAATTAGATTAAAGTATAAATAGCTAAATTAATTAGGATAGCAGAAATTAAGTCGGCAAACAGACATCAATCTCACATTATATAGAACAGGATAATAATATATTTAATGATATATATTTAAATAAAAAAAGAAGTGTGTTCATGACTTTTAAATCTAACAGGAGCCAGCAGATAAGTCAGTCACTTTATTTTTAAGTTTAACTAAGTTTATGATGTCTAGTAACAATAAAAAGTGACAACACGTGGCTTAATGAAGTTATATACCAGATTATAAACAAAATTATATTCATTACCTATATGATAAACGGAAACCTGAGAACTAAAATAAGAAATAGGAGAGGCTATCTTCAATCGACGGTTTTTAAACGGAACTTGCATTAAAAGTTCTTTAAAATAACAGCATAAATCGATATCAAGCTAAATACAAGCTTAGAGCTCTTTTCGTGTTTTAGAAAACATTACAAAATATTAGAATATGAACAGAAATATCAGCCAAGCAAAAAACTGCCCTAGTAGAAACCCAAACATAAGGTTGTCCCTATTTCTTGAACTCCAGCTTGCTTAGCGGGCAATAGCATTTTTAAAGATTATTCTAGTAAAACCAACGTTATTTTTAATATCGTTGAGTAAAACTTACGGTATCCTGCTTATAATATAAATGTGAAAGATTGTATGTTTGTTACTCAATCACGCAAACACTGACAACAGCTGAACGGATTAGGATAACATTTAGTACACATATAGGTTATGAACTGGATTTAGACATCGGAAACTTTTTATCCGGGAAAATTTTAGGTTATAATTTGTGGGATTCTTTAAACTAAACACGCATGAAGTGGCAGGCGGCAGTAGAAATATAAATAAAAGTAAGAACTAATTTCATAAAAACAAAAACACTAAATACTAAAAAGAATAGGTATTTGTGGACATAAATAAAAAGAAAAATTTGGAGTCTGTACCTTGCCAATTAAAAGAATGGAACTTTGTGTTTTTTTTTTGACAAATTAAGAATTAAGGTATTATGCCTTAGTGCTCCTTCATAAGTTTCCCTGACAATATCAATATTGTTTACTAAACTCATAAATCACGTTTAGTGTGCTCATTTTTTTATCTCATCCCTTCGTCACAATTAGACGATAACTTCCATGAATCAGTCAAGGCTAAGATTACTCCCTTGGCCTATTTAATTGCACAATTCCTATTATCATTAATAATTATTTCAAATTAGGCCAAGGCTTTCTAAAATGGTTTTAAATACCTATAAGTTTTTGATCCACAGGTGAGATGGTTCAATGCGACGTTAGCCAGTAGACTCTTTTGTAAAACAACGAAAGTGAAAGTATTGCCTGTATCGTTTGAATTAAATACTAAAAGAGTACGGAGGCAATCAGGGTATCACCCCCGAGGTCGTTACCGAGGTCAAACCCAGTCACAGTATCTGTCTATTGACAGAGGCAACGGCAAGGATGAAGGCAAAGCAGAAGCGCATTCTGCAGCTGATTCTTCTAGAGCAGTCGTCAGTAAGTTTTTATTTCAAAGTTCACTATAAAGAAAGGTAGGTTAAAGTGGGTTGCGGTTTTGTACAGTAGAAAATGTAGTCAACAATAGGTCAAGTTATCCTAAACTATCATATGTCTTCAACCGACTTAAATTTTATCTTGCTGATTATAAAATTACAGCCTATACTAATGACTGTAATTTTATATTAAATTATTGTAGTATGATGACTTGTTATGTATGTACTTTCTTTCTTAAAATTGAGTAACTACCTACGTACAAGCGGTGAACAAGAACACTCGATAAGAACTCACTGCCCGCTTGCTCTCTAATGCGATGATGTTTAGCCACTCTTTGATCTGCTGCTCTTCACCTTACCCGTTGACGCACTAAATACCTTTATACTCGTATATTTTGTGCATGTTTTATAGCTTCACGTAAACAGAAGAAATTTTTAGTTAAATTCATTCTTTCAGGTGGTAACAGCGGTATGGGACAAGCACAGAGTCAAACAATTTATGATCCAAGCTGTGAAGATTGCCCAGATCGCAATAATATTGACGTTGCAAATTTGGCATACAAACCTGACCAAAAACCATTTTCAGGAACTAATGGAAAATCTCCTGGGGGATCAACAGGCGGAACATATGGACCTGGACAATCTCCCGGTGGTACATATGCACCTGGTCAATCTCCCGGCGGTACATATGCACCTGGTCAATCTTCCGGTGGTACATACGCACCTGGTCTATCTCCCGGCGGTACATATGGACCTGGACAATCTCCTGGCGGCACATATGCACCAGGACAATTATCTGGTGCCCCACTTGGACAATCGGTCGGTGGCTCAAATGGGCCAAACGAAATTTCTGCGGGACCGGGTCAACCTTCGAGTGGTACATATGGGCCGAGTCAAACTCCTGGAGGATCACAAGGATCAGGGCAATCTCCTGGAAGTTCCGTTGGAGGAGGTCAATTTCCCGGCGGTGCCTATGGGCCTAGTCAACAAGCTGGAGGATCATATGGACCAGGTGGATTGCAAGGTAATACATACGTCCCAGGTCGGGAACCAAGCAGTAGTTATGCGCCAAATCAATTACCCAACAGTTCCTATAGACCTGGCCAAACACCAGGAGATCTCGATGGGCAAGCTGGTGGATCAAACACACCAAGCCAAACACAGCCTGGGGGATCAAGTACATTTGTCAAACAACCTGGCGGTGCATACAATAGTGGTCAAGCTCCGGGAGGATCATACGGGCAAGGGCAGATACCAGGAGGCTCATACATTCCGGGGCAATCAACATATGGTTCGAGACAGCCGCAACCAGGATCATTTATTCCTGGGCAAACTGCAGGAGGATACATACCTGGGCAGTCGCCGAGTGGAACAAATAGGCAAGGTCAAACATATTATCCTGGCCAGTCACCTGGTGCAGCTTATGGGTCAGGTCCGACCCCAGGAGGTTCATATAGTCCAGGTCAACCACCAGGATTATTAGGACAACTTCCACCCTCTGGTGGTACGTTTGTACCAGGAGGTTCGAATTTACAAGGGGGTTTACCAGGCGGATCATACGTACAAGGTACTTTACCCGGAGGGACAGGAGGGTCTGGTCAGGGCACATACACACCAGGTAGCACCGGAGGACCATCGAATTCTGGACAAACACAGGGAGGATTTTACCCACCAAGTCAGACAGGGGGATCATACGGAAGCAACGCAGGGCAAAGTCCAGGTTCTAATGGAAATCAGTTAAACGGGCCTGGAAGCGGTGCATACGGAGGTACTGCTATTCAACCTGGCGCACAAGGAATTAATTGGCCTTTGCTATCTAGTATATTGCCCGGAGCAGCCCCTGGCTCAACTTATTTTTGCTGTGTAGTAAATCCAGGAAACAATGCACAAAATGGAGTAAACCCAAGCAATACCTACTTTGGAATTCCAGGTGGTCAAAATCAATTTCCAACATCTAATAAAAATATTGGGCTAGGTCCGTATACAGGAACATTAGGAGAAAATAACGTTCCAAATATACCATCTCAAGGGTCTGCGGGGGCAAATCAGGCAAATTTTCAAAATTCCGGTGGGCCTACAGCAAATGGATATAATGGGCAACCTCAATTACAAAATTTAAATAGACCATATGGGCAGACAAATATTCCTTATGGAAATGTTGCATCAAATAATCTACAAACTCCTAACGTACAATACGGATCAGGTCAAAGTGGTGTACCATCTCTAAACGGGCCATATAGTACAGGACAAAATGTCCCAAATGGATCACCTTCAGTTCCAGGTAATCTTCAGTCTCAAAATGGCCCTTATGGCACATCTGGTCAGAATGTGCCGATTGATACCACAAATATTGGCCAAAATGGGTTAGGTTCTCCTGGCCCATATGGAACAGTAAATATGGGATCAAATCCTTCCATCATACCAAGCAGAACAGGGCAAACAAATATACAACATCCTGATGGAGCAATTGTTAATGGAGGCACAGGGCAAAATGTTCCGTACGCTCCTGGGACGTCAGGTCTGAACGGTACACCAAGCATTGATAGAAATTATATATCAGGTGGAATAGGCAGACCAAATGTACCATATGGAACAGGTAATGGTGGACAAAATGGAATCGTATCAAGCGGACCACATGATACATCAATGACAGGTCAGAATCCTGTATACGGACCGAGGGATCAAGGTCAAAATACAATAACATTTCCTAATGGGCAATATGGAGCTGGCAACACGTTACAAACACCAAATGGAATGGGTGGCGGACTGCAAAATACAGGTGTGTTAGGGAATGGTGCTCAAAATTTAAGTCCAACCAATCTACAAAATCCCAGTAATACTTATGGACCAGGATATAATGGTCAACCTTTAGGTTTAAATGGCCAGTATAATCCAGTATCAGGACAAAATATACCTACCCTGGGCGGCACCTATGGAAATGGAAATGGAGGACAATTTGGGACTGATCAAAATAATTTAATGATTCCCAATAATTATGGTGGTGGTCATCCGGGAGCACCTAATCAACAAGGTGGGATTAATAATGGCGTTGATCAACAGGTGAGTAAATAAAAAAATAAAATATCTAATGCAATTCTTACTAGAAATAATTCAACTCTTCCCCGGGTATCAGGATACATATTAATCTATACTAAACTTGCAAAGAATAGTATATTCGGCAGTATACCGAATATTCGGCATAAGTATTCGGCTTGATTTTAGCGCCAAAAACTTGTATAAACGTGATTGTTTCGCGCCCCTTTGTTTGCAGTGCAATTCAGTCAAACGCAGTTTCAACAGAAATGGATCTTATCTTAAATATTAGTAATATATCACGTCATGACAACCCATATACATGGTGGCAGCAAGGAAATTTGAATTTCCGTGTTTGATATAGATTGCAGAAAAATATTTGTCGGCGCCAGGAAGTAGTGTTTATTCAGAGCGCCTTTTCTCTGAAGCTGGGATGGTGTACGAGAAAAAAAGAAGTTCTACTACTTTCTAAAAATGCAGAAAATTTTGTCTTTCTGCACCATAACCTTCCCCTTCTAAATTTTGATTATGAAAATAATTCAAATGCATAGAAAAATTCTTAACTTGTTTAATACAGAAAATGATTAAATTATGCATACCTGTTTTATGTACCAATAACTACTTAATAAATGATTATAAAAGAAATGAGAACCTTACCCTTTTAAATTTTGATTACCACAATAATTCAAATACATAGAATCCTCCATTTTTCCAATTCAGAAGATGATTATGTACCTGTGTTATGTACCAATGACTACTTTAATGATTATATATAACAGAAATAAAATAGGAATATATACCTACGTAATCAATCGATATTAATTTTTTATTTTACCAATTATTTCTCTATGACATAATATATTATTTAAGTATTCGGTATTCGGCCGAATAATATGTAGGTATTCGGTATTTGGCCGAATATAATAAAAGCAGCCGATTAGGCCGAATACCGAATAGTAACCGAATATTCGTTGCAAGTCTAATCTACACTAATATTATAAAGAGCAAAAAATATATTGTTTTTGTTTTTTTGCATTGAATAGGCTCCGAAACTACTAGTTACGTCTAATTTCTTTCATCACAGAAATCCCTGATGAACATAGCCTACAGAATATTTTCAAGAGTGGTTAGGGATGCGTATGAAAACTTCGATAATGTAACCCAACGTGGGAAAAAAATATCTAAAAGACCATATCACATTTTTCACGGCAGGTTTATATGAATACAAGCCTGAAAACAAAAACTATAGTCTACACTGAATGAAGCAAGGGCGGGCCATAAGTATAAAATAAAACTACATCGCTATTTCTTATTTCGTCATTGTAGGTAGTTACCTGCAATGTGAAGAAGTGGCGTGCTGCCATGCAGCCGTAGGTACTAAGATATACTAGGAGGAATTCGACATGTCCATTATGGTCTGTACATTCGCTTGGATAGCGAAAGGAGTTGCTATACGTATCCAGCCTTATACCTGTAGGTCAATCCCCTATCGGTATTTCTATGGCTATCGCTTATGACGTTATTTCTGACCGCCGAAGGTTTTCAAATGCCTCACTCTCTTTTATTAGGGTTCCGTACCCAAAAAGTAAAAACAGAACCCTATTACTAAGACTCCACTGTCCGTTTGTCTGTCGCCAGTTTGTATCTCATGAACCGTGATAGCTAAACACTTGAAATATTCATAATATATTAAGTTGTATATACATTTTAAAAAATAATAATCAAGTGGCTTCCATTCAATAGACGTGATTTTGTCGTTTTGGAACGGAAATCTTAGCGCGCGAGTCCGTCTTGCACTTGGCCGGTTTGTTTTCTTTTGCATTGGTTATAACAATATTAAAAAAAATGAGCGTTTGAAAACCTTCGGCGGTCAGAAATAATGATTGATAAGAGATAGCTATAGCCATAGCAATCAGAACAAGAAACATAGGCGGTAGGCCCCCCGGACGAGTTAAATTATTCCTTATACTTTTATATTAGTTTATAATTTTACATGAAAACTATTAACGTTTTATTTTTAATGCTGTTTCAGAATGTTGGACTGATTAATGCAAATGGCGGTAAGTTTTAAACGTATTATAAAAAAAATATAAAGCCATTTTTTAAACTATTAAGAACTAATTAAACTTAACATTGACTTGATTGCGTCGTTATGCTAGCTTCTTTTGTATGATAGTTGTAGTAGTATATTTGAAGTAGGTGCAAAAATAAGTTCTTTTTCAAAAATGCTTTGGAAGTCTATAACTTTGGTATTTAATTAATATCTTTTGTAGGTGTTCCTCAAAATGTGCTGGACCCGAATTCAATAACAGTTTCATTTGATGATTACGATTCAGAAGCTCAAGCCAGTGTATCTGAAAACGTGAATGGAACCACTGCCTTAGCTGCTTCAAAAGGTGGTAATAAAAAGGGTCGAGCACAAACACAAGTGGAAGGAACTTATACTGGAAGTGGGTCTTTTTCGGCAAATGCTGAAATAAGCGATGAGAACAAAGCAGCACAAAGTCATGTTTCTGGAAGTAAAAAAGGGGCAAATAGTAATGCGGAAGGAAGAGGTCGTAAAAATAAGTCACAGGCGTCTGTTCAACTTGGTTCCGAAACTGGTTCTATATTGACCGACTCCCAAAGTAGTGGAGACATGCATTCATCTAGTTCTCAAGTTCAAGGCAGCGTTAAAGGTGGAATGGCTGACGCTCAAGCTAAGGGACCCGGAAGCACATCTTCTCAAGCCCAAATAGGTTTTACTCCTTATAAAGAAGAGGATAAAGCAGCACATGATAAATTAAAAATACCGTTTGAAGGCGGAGGTACTGCATCTGCTCAAACCAGTGGACGCATGGGTACTTCGCAATCTCAACTTAGGGGAACATTTAAGTATGGCATTACTTATAATGGTGCTGCACAATCTGGATCTAGTCTTGACAAAGATGCAGTATTTTCTAATCTGGTACCATTTGAAAAAATTGATGTCTATGACGAAAACAATAAAAATATAAATATTGAAGCTTCAACAACGGAAAAGCTAAAAGAAGCAACAGAAATTTTCACACAAAAATATGAGGAAACCACTACTTCTGAAACACAAACTGATGAAGCAAAACATATGTCTGATCACAGTCATTCAGATCATCACAAATTTTCTGATCAACAAAATTCTACCACTCGACCACCGCCAGAAGGAAATCGAAGATCTTTTACTCCCAGTTATAATGCTAATGGGGGGGATTACGAGTACTCAACTGACAAGGATGATAACCAGCAAGAAGACTATGATATTGACGACGGTTTTGGCGCTGATACTGTTGAAACAAGCCCGGATCAAAATGAGTATGCAAATTATGACGAATTAAATAGAGATACCGTAAATACCCATCAATCTTTACAAAGTGCTAGTAAAAAAGGCTTAGAAGTAAAGCAAACGAATGGTGGTAATATGCAACATATCATTCTAGGTTCCTTGAACAACCATGATGCTAGAGTGGTTCAGAAGAATTCCGAACATCCAGACGAGTCTAAGGTATATCAACCAGGAGAGAAAGTACCTGGCATGGGAGGATATACTATACCTGTTGGTTTTACAGGTAGTGTCAAATCTGTAGCTTCTAAAGATAAAACATACGTCGTTGGTTCTAAATATTCACCGTCACAAGCTCAAACGGTAACCCTCACGCCAGGTACTGGAAAAGTAAAATATCTTTATCCAAATCGTTATGGACATAACGTAAATCCAAAAGACCTAAGATCATTATACAACTCAAAAGCTGATGATAACCGTTATGTCTCTGTTTCCAAGTCAGTGACGCGTGATTTGGACAACGAAGACAACGTAAGAAGACAATATTCGCACACATATTACACAAAATCATCTTCGTGCGGATATTTTACTTTTACATGCACAATGGTTAGCAGTGCCGAGGGTAAAAAGAAAGTATGTAAACCAAAAATCCCTAGAAATCCAGACGGTAGTCCTATGAAATGTTAATAATTTAGAAAATTTTAGAGTATTCCACTTGAAATTTTCTTTATAATTGAAGCAGTATATAATTATATCATTCAACTATTATTAATTTTAAACTGTATTTAAATGTGTTCTACTAATTTTATACAATTCATTAGGAGTTAACTGAAAAATGTTTTAAAGATATTGAATAAATATTAAGGTATTTTAGTTTATAAAAAATCGATTTATTATTAAATTATACTGAATATGATCAATTTTTATTGTAGTTAATTGACGATGAATGTTATTGTAATGTTATTTCAACCTTTTTATATTGATTAATTACAAAAAGAAACACTTACCTTTAATTAATCATAATTTTAACAGGATTCATTGTACACTGATAAAACATTGTCAGTAAGTTTAGAATTGTAAAAATCTACAAGAAGATATAAAGGCATAAGAAATTTTCTTCTTCAAATAAAATTATTATTTACCTCGACATCATGAAAGCACTTTATAATATTGTATCTAGGAATAAGTAAAAATAATCACAAGACTCAAACTCAGACAAAAAGCCTAGAAGTTTCATTTTTTCACAGCTTCATGGGACCGTAGACTTGAGTAAGTGGTTTAAACTTTATCTCGATACCTCCTCGCGTTCCCAAGATGAAGGGTCTTGACAAACAGACCGACAGACAACAAAGTGATCCTATAAAAGTCCTCTTCCTTCTGAGCTACGGAACCCCAAAAACGTTCAAAATTAACAAGATATTATTAATGTAAAAAACGGTATTTTTATTTTTACAAAAAGATCGTTAATTTTGTTAATAAAACCATAACTTTATATGACTTCATACACTTTAATGTGAAATAATTTGGATATTCTAGATAAATACCTACATTTTTTAAGAGATAAATACACTTTTTAATATCTTCACATTTTTTTATCATCACATTGACGTACTTGAAATTATTTTATTTTATCCAAACATGAAATATAAGTAGGGTACTTTAACAAAACAAATTGTTTTAGAACTTATCCGCATGTTTTGCCACTGTAAATATTATCTACCACGTTAGATACATATGCTTCTTAAAACTATGAATTAAGTACTTATTCATAAACAGATTCTCAATAGATCTGACTATTCATTACGTTGGGAATTATACAGCTGACAGTATCAATTCATCACTTCACAGTTATTTTAGTAGAGCAGACAATAAAGTGTTACTTTATATTAAATAAATTCAAATTTATAAATATTCATTTCCAAACTTTATTTATATTAACAATAATGGCAGATTTACACAGGGTCAGTCACTGACTCCAAATCGGTCAGTACTGGCGTCCGCGAAGTGTACTACCGAAAGTAGAAACAAACTAGCTCCTTACATAGAAACTGACATGACGTTACGAATGTTTTCTCGTTGTTTGCTCGTACTTGGGGTACTGTAGTCGGTTCGTCGGCGCTGTACATCTCCAAATCAATGTACACTATGCCAGTGTCGGCTCAGCCTTGGCTTGATTCGAATTGATGTCAATAACCGACCCCGTGTAAATCTTACATAATCAATCTATTATCAGCCTAATCCAAAGAATAAAATTTATACGTCTCATATCGTTTTATAACGGCACATTGAAAGGTTTTATTGTAGAATTCTTTTGTTTAGGTCAATCACGATATAGAAAATCCGCCTTTGGTAAAATATATTTAAAAATCCTGTGTCAAACTAATGTTAATTGTGCGACTATTATTTAGCAAAGAAATCAAGAACCTAGAATTTTAATAGTTACGAAATCAGATCTGAATATTACTGACAGTGGTGGGTTGCGATTCGAGTGTTTGTGGTTATTTTAAAATGATTCTTATCACACTGAGAAAGTTTCATAAAAAAAATTAAGACAAATAAAAGTGAAAAGAATCTTTCGTTGTGCATCATTAAAAGTATGTTTTGGTTTTAAATTTCATTCTCTATAGCAATTCTAAAAGATTTATTTTATACTCGCAACTACCGACTGCCTTAATAAAAATCCACGTTTCATCATCATCAACACCATCATGATCATACTAATTTAAATAAATATAACCAGTGATTTTGCAAAATATAAGTGGAATGTATTAAAAAAAAACATGTTTCTAAGTATATAAATAACAACAATAAAAGAGTACTTGAAATCTTATCAATACAACGTGAATTTGGAAAACGCAAATCCTGAATATAGTCTTCATATTAAAGATCAAAACGATATAACAATAAAAAGTTATGCAGCAAGATTTGGTAACATGTCATAAATTAATAAATACCGACCATTTTGGCATGTTACTTTATTTTAAGGAAAATGGTTGGTCTTTAATATACTTTGTTTTTAATTGCGCGTTTTACTACACTTTATTTTTTCAATTGATTGACAGCCTTTTGGACAAAATGGTATGAAATTGTAGAAAAATGTACAATGTCATAAAATATTTTTAATATAAAAAGTAGTCTGGGATGTTTTAGATACTTCTTATCTAATACTAAACTTAAAGCTGCAACTAACTTTCAATATTATAATACTCCTAGGAGTAAATGGCAAATTAAATATCTAACTTAACGTAATATAAGTTAAAGTAACACATTATTATAAAACCCTACATGATATCTCAGGAAAGATACTATTCTTCTACTTTACTATTCTATAAAAATATAAACATCAACAAAATAATATTAAATGGAATGGTTATTTGACGTTACTGTCAAGTTCTTTCATAGTGCTAAAAATGCTGCACTAGCAATTTTATCCACATTCAAAATATTTAAAACGCGGTAAACTTCTGCCTGTTATTAAGTAACACAAGAAGCGTTTCCAAAAGTATACTTCGCAAACAATTGTGATATGGCAACAATGAGAAGATTTTTCAGTTGCAACTAGTAAACGAGATGCTAATTCGAAAAATTGCGTAGATAAAACTTAATTTAGACATGACTGATTTATTTAAATTGGTGGGATTTAGTACTATTTATCATAATTAAATGCACATTGAATAAAATGAACCTGAAGAATTTACTGAAAACGAGTGTTAAATCGATAATCGAATCGAATCATATTTAGTTAATACATTTAACTCTGCGTGTGGCGACAATGAAACCCAATAGTATTTTTCTTTTTTAATACAGATATAATTCTATTATGTGGTTCATCAGATGGTATAAATTATTATAATCAGTTTTTAATAAAATAATATTGTTTTTTAATCCTCTTCAGAAAACAAATATTTTACTACCCACTGAAGCAATTACATTACAAACACAATCAAATAGCCGAAGGAAAACAGTCACACCAAAAGCACTTTGATTAATGGTCATTTATTAATAAACGTCACTTTTAGTGAAGAAAACAAAAATATACCTAATCAGTTTTGTTCTTGTTATGCATTGGACATAATATGTACTAGTAGAATTTGTAGATGTGAATCTGATATTGTGTATTATTTCTTAATCGTTTGTATAACTTTAATTTGATTTTATCAAATAGATATTAAAAACGGGCATTCTTCCTTTATCCCATTAAAATAATAATAATAATATATTTCATAAAAGTTGCGGTTCAAATACTTAATACGTTTTCTATGAATTATATGACATTTCATGTGAAACTTTTTCATAGCCACTCAAATAATATTTAGTGTTTATAAGATTACACACGATTGCATTTATATATCATTAGAATATGATATGATATTATCCTTTCAACCAATCAACTAATTTATATTACAGAATCACATTATATATAGTGTATTAAGGTACATACGAATTATAGTGAGCAGTAATTTGAGTATTACGAAATAATTATTTCCTGCACTTTTTACACTTGTCAAAATTTATCACTGGGAATGAAAAAATAACTGGATATTGAAAAATATTACCATAAACTAAGTACATTATTTTAATTTTTTGATAAAATTATAAAGAAAATAACCTTTTGTACTAACACTTCTAGTTTCTTAAATACCATCGTTTTTTTTATCAAAGTAAGTACATGGATCATGGAGCACTAACTACTTAATACATTTACAATAGCCCGATCATTAAATTCACACATTACTTATTAAATACAGCAAACACACACAATTCAATGAAACACACTGAAATATAAATTCAACTTCAAAATGAGATCAATCTTCTAAATAACTTTAAATTTAAATATTAAGTACATTATAATGAGATTCATCGTAAAATGGCGAGACAGTAGTACTTAACAAATACTGATGGGTTAAGGAACTTGGATATATGATGGCTTAATTAAATTGTAATTGTTTAAAATCACTTAATTAATACTTAAATTGAATATTCAGCAAATTCCACATTTACAACACGTATATAACAAATAATTAATTATTACTAAAAGAGTCGATTTGAGCTGTCTAAGTTATAATATTATATAGTGCACTGAAATAATGTGAACACAACACAGAAGTTCAGCAACATCAAATTCGTCAATATTAATCCCCCTAACAATAAATAGATTAACGCACTATTAACGCAATGTTTTGTTTATGTTCTCCGAATACAAAACAGTGCGTAACTGGTACTAGAATATACTTTCATTAAATTTAAATTAGATTTTACCCATAGCAAATGTCAAAACGTCAATGCCAATTTGACATTATTGTATAGGCTAAATTTTATTTTGGTTTAATCGAAATTTTGCAAATGGACCTAAGAGAGTTAAGGTTTTTAATATTTTCATTTCTACTACTTCCACCTTGCAAAAAAAAATGTTACTGTGTTAAATGAAAGAATTTATAATGTACAATGAGTATGTAAAAACAAGTTTTTAATAAAGCTAAGGTTGACCACATACATGTCAGTCTTCGTATAATAAAACCGTTTAAACATGAAGAATAGCTTAGTGCATACTTGGGCAGTAACTCGTAATGGGCGACTCGACGACATAAATGATAACATTACGACCTATTCTGATATAAAAATAGACATGTTAAACATGTCAATGATCACCGTGTCACACACAGACCACTTATACAAATTTGGCAGCGCCAGCCAAATTACGATTCGTCACAAATGCTTGTACCGAGACGGTGGGTTAAAATTTCCTTAACAATGCCTCTGTGGCAATTATAGAAACTACACACGTGTAGTGTTTAAACATACAATTAACAATAAATAAGGGTACTGAGGAGAAAATTTCACTTAAAATGTAAACGTTTAAACTAATAGCTGTTTCCATAAATTTATGTTTATGTTGGGTTTCACTTGAGTTGAGTTTGATGGAGAAATATGAAGTTAATATGAGCATATTGTGTACAGATTCACCTGCCTAGGATGCGCCCCGAAGTCTTTTCAATCGTTCTTTCTCAAGATTGTCGACAGGTGGCTCTCTTTCAAACGACACCAGCTCCAAAGCTGAAACAATAATAAACTTATTAAATGATGATCTTGACTAAAAAGATGCGTCGTATATTCTATAATGTAAGTTGCGAAAAAGCGAGTTTAAACCCAAGAAGGAAAGTATGACTCCCAGAGCCGGGTTTAAGCCAAACGGGCTGTGGCCCATGACCCTGTGCCTCGTTGCCCTTGGGCCACCACACCTCTAATTCTAGCCTTGATGACTCTCGACAACAAATTATCAGGATCATAAATTGTATATATTTGTTGTGACACTGTATCATTATAGTCACTCATTAGAGCCGCCTTAGACCGGGGGACAATTGTCTGACTTTAACTCTTTTCACTTATCACTTCAAAACTTAATAAAAGTGCATGTGACATAACATATCTCTTCCCAACTATGAATGAAAAAACCGGATCGCGAGGGACGAAAATGTTACTATTATTATGAAAGATTGATCTTTTAGTTCAGTTGGTTAGTTATAAAAATATAAGTATTTTGATACAGAATAGAATGAATGGTTGTAAATACCACTAGCGGCCGCCCGCGACTTCTTCCGCATTAACTTTTAGTTTTTTGTGAATCACTCAGGAAACCATTACTTTTTGGGGATAAAAAGTGTCCTATGTTTTAATCTTAATCCCGGTAATAAACACTGTGTGTGCCAAATTTCATACGAATCCGTTCAGCCGTTTCTGCTTGATAGAAAAACAAACACACAAACACTCAAACTTACAAACTTTCACTTTTAGAACATACGTAGGATTCGTTTTTTTTTATTTTAATGACAGATTAGGTAAGCAAACGGCTAGACGCATAAAAATGTCTTCAGCAAATCTAATGCTGCCATAGATTAAACCGTTATCAAGGCTGGTCAGGCGCCGGCTCGTAGCTGCGTGCTCACGCCCCCGTGAGCACCTGTCTCTGTGAGCGCGGGCCTGTCGTTGAGGAACCGCCACACGGGCAGGTGTGGTGAAGGCAGCGTAGCCGGTGCCTCGTCGTTGGTCAGGCGCCGGCTCGCAGTTGCGTGCTCACGGGACAGTGCTCAGCTGTCTCTGTGAGCGCGGGCCTGTCGTTGAGGAACCGCCACACGGGCAAGTGTGGTGAAGGCAGCGTCGCCGGTGCCTTGTCGTTGGTCAGGCGCCGCCTCGCAGCTGCGTGCTCACGGGGCAGTGCTCACCTGTCTCTGTGAGCGCGGGCCTGTCGTTGAGGAACCGCCACACGGGCAGGTGTGGTGAAGGCAGCGTCGCCGGTGCCTCTTCGCTGGTCAGGCGCCGGCTCGCAGCTGCGTGCTCACGGGGCAGTGCTCAGCTGTCTCTGTGAGCGCGGGCCTGTCGTTGAGGAACCGCCACACGGGCAAGTGTGGTGAAGGCAGCGTCGCCGGTGCTTCGTCGCTGGTCAGGCGCCGGCTCGCAGCTGCGTGCTCACGGGGCAGTGCTCACCTGTCTCTGTGAGCGCGGGCCTGTCGTTGAGGAACCGCCACACGGGCAGGTGTGGTGAAGGCAGCGTCGCCGGTGCCTCGTCGCTGGTCAGGCGCCGGCTCGCAGCTGCGTGCTCACGGAGCAGTGCTCACCTGTCTCCGTGAGCGCGGGCCTGTCGTTGAGGAACCGCCACACGGGCAAGTGTGGTGAAGGCAGCGTCGCCGGTGCCTCGTCGCTGGTCAGGCGCCGGCTCGCAGCTGCGTGCTCACCTGTCTCTGTGAGCGCGGGCCTGTCGTTGAGGAACCGCCACACGGGCAGTTGTGGTGAAGGCAGCGTCGCCGGTGCCTCGTCGCTGGTAAGGCGTCGGCTCGCCAGCTGCGTGCTCACGTGTCGCGCTAGTAGCGTGCACTTTTCGAAGTTCACGCGGTTGCTTGCAAGTCTAGGCAATACACACGTCAAACATTAAAATATAAATACAACAAACCCGTGCTAAATCGACAGTTTTGTCGGGCGGTATCGGACTATAAAGCACAGCCGAAGCCCACCATCTACACTATGAAATTTTTGAAAATGAGAACCCCGTAATTCGGCAATTTACAAATCAAAAAATCTCTTTGAAATGATGTTTATGTTTAATCAAGCGTGTCAGATTTCAGTGGTCGCCGAATTAGACCGGGCCATATTACCGCAGATCTAATGTAATGTAATCCTTAGTGAAGATGAAAACGCCATGTGTTCGACATACAGACATTTACTCCATAAAGATTCGAACTCAGGGGCCCAATTCTCGCGGCATAGATATGATATCACCTTCGATATATATCGAATGATCTGGCTTTTATCGAAGGAAAACCTTTTTGCCCTATTCTCACCATGTCGCAATAGATATTTATCTACGGATGATCAGTAGACATACATCGACTGGTAAAGAGCCTTCGATATATAAATATCTATGGATCTTGGCATGTCAATCTTGTTATTTCCACTTTTTTTACCTATTATTTATTGTGTTGTCGCGTGTCTTTGCCAATTATTGTTACCTCAAGATGTTGTTAACTGCCTTCATAAATAATTAGTAAATAAAGAAGTAGGTAAACAATGGTGTCGATTCTGGCGTGATTCTCTAAACTTAAAACCAAATTTAACATCAGTCTCTCTTTTTCATTCTGTATAGAGAATGACAAGGAAACACTGTTGTCAAGCTTAAGTTTAGATTTAGAGAATCGTGCCAGAATCGACACCAGTTTATATTAACGATGGATGAGTTGATTCATGTTTTCGTCAATGATTTAATAAATGACGTGATTGCTGCTGCTGTGCTAAGGCGCCGCCGTTGTGAGAGCAAGAGGGCCCATTTGAAATGAGGGACGCCGACTTCATAAAAAAATTACGTTTAAACAAAAATTTGGTTAGAAATCTTATAAAGTTATGAATGACATTGGTATCGATTCTGACACGATTCTCTAAACTTAAAACTGAATTTAACATCAGTCTCTCCTTTTCATTCTGTATGGAGAATGACAAGGATACACTGTTGTCAAAGGAGAATGGGCAAATCCGTCTAGATTGCGCTTGACGCATTTAACTATCAAAAATCTTCTTCTGAATTATCATTTCATATGTGTGTTTATTATGTAAATATTATGCGGATATTTAAAATAATAAATAAATGGTTATTAAACTGAGTAAATAACCAATAACCATAGATAAAAGTTGTATCACCTGGTCGATACTATCGTAGGAAAAAAAATCGATTATATTTCTTTATTTAAATATTCTTAACATAAAAAAACGAGTGTGCTTATGACCACACGACTGAAGTGAAACTTCTTTCATTTACTAGCTGTAAGAGAAAAAGAGAAAGAAAATGCGTGCGCGCACTCTTGCTCCTACACTGTGATACAGACAATAGGCTTGCACTGTGCTTAGATATACGGAACGTATTTGGCTATGAGAGAAAGAGAGAAAGAAAATGTGCACGCGCACTGCTTTCTCATGCTTACATCCCTCACTCAACTCCCGTTCGCCTCGCCCGATCACACTTTTCTTAACGCTTACGTTCGCTAGCTTACTCCCCAAGTCAAGAGTGCGTAAAGAAGTTTCACTTCAAAAAGAAAAAATAAAACGTTTATTATAATTGAAAGCATAGAACAATTGTAAGTAGCCTGAAACATTTTTACCAAACACCGTAAATGACTACGAAATAATGATCATTCGTTAATTCGTAGTCATTTTTCAAAACGCAAGTGCGGTCCTGCGTGGAATATTGCTCGCACCTCTGGGATGACTCCGCCAAGTACTTGCTCGATGCTTTGGATAGGTTACAGCGGCGCGCGATCCGCATCATAGGCGATGAGGAGGTGACTAAACACCTTGAGCCTCTTCAATTACGCCGTGACGTGGCGTCACTAAGCGCGTTCTATCGTTTGTACCACGGCGAGTGTTCTGAGGAGTTATTCTCTCTTATCCCACCTTCCCCTTTCCTTCAGAGGACCACGCGCGCTGGCCTACGTTGTCACCGTCTTACTGTGGCCACAATTCCAACGCGTACAAAGAAATTTGGTGACTCATTTCTTTGTCGCACTATCCGTAAATGGAATGCTCTACCCGCTCACGTGTTCCCTCCCTCTTACAACCTGGGATCCTTTAAAAGAGGCGTGAAGAAGCAACATGCAGGCAGGCAGGGTGAGGATGGCTGGTGTGGCAGGTAGAACTGCTGTATCAGCTATCTTCGCGTCTGGACTTCACCTTCACTTAACATCAGGTGGGGTGGAGTCATTTGTCGGACCTAACTATAAAAAAAAAAAAAAAAAATATCGAATTTAATCGAATCTAAATATGACATAACCTTAAAATGCTTACGTAATTTAATATTTTCTTTAAACCACCACTTAAGTTTCTAATGATATTTTTCCTACGCAATATACACCTGATTCCCTATTGTTGTACACTTATTCCAATAAGACGCAATGAAAAAAACTTAGCCCAACTCCCAAAGTAAAATGACCATTCTCCTTTACGTTTAGGTTTAGAGAATCATGCCAGAATCGACACCATTTTCTTATTAACGATACGGAGTTTTGGCGGGATTTTTGCGAGTGCGGTTTGCATCTTATTTTAATTATTCTAAAATTCGTTCATAATGGATATTGTGAAATAAAATTGGTGTGATTTGGTGTTACAACCGACTGCGCAACTGAAGAATTAGTGGAATCTTTAAAATATACGCTATTCCGGTCAATTGGACGCGAGAACTTTATTGTAGTGTTGACTACCTCACAGAAGCTTAGAGAAAAAGCCAACTCCATAAATTTCGTGCCAAACACTCCAAGAAACATTAGAATGCGTCACACCGACATTCGAATGTAAAAAAAAAAGAAGATTAATATAACTAAAGACTAGGCTTTATGGGCATTGTTCCCTTTGCCTTCACTGAAAAGGGAGAATCTTAAATAATATTGACGTTTCATAACATAACGTTGAAATTATATACGCATTCAATTTAGGTAAAGTTGAGATTTCTTATACTCAAAAAATGTATACTCCTATTTAATATCAATAGAATTCATAAAATATCATTTTGTTGCTTGTAAAATTCTGCTCTAATTTATTATTATTTTATATAGACTATGATGTTAACTTAATCGAGAAAAACGGAACGCATCCGTCAGTGAAAGAATATGATAGATATAATATCATTGGAATAGCCGATATAATATCTACGCCGCGAGAATTGGGCCCCAGGGCCCCAATTCTCGCGGCGTATTATTATTTCGGCTTCAAGATAATATCGAAAGTAGGGATATCTATTGATATATCTACTGATGGCAAAAAATGATATTCTCGTGGATTTTCGATATTCCAATGATATTATATCTATCGTAGACATTTGTTCACTGACAAATTCGTTCCGTTTTTCTCGATTAAGTTAACATCACAGTCTATATAAAATAAGAATAAATTAAAGCAGTATTTTACAAGCAAAAAAATGATATTTTATATTTTAGGAATGCCATTAATATTAAAAATATGAGTATACATTTTTTGAGTATAAGAAATCTCAACTTTACCTAAGTTGTATGCGTATTTAATTTCAACGTTAAGTATAATGAAACGTCAATATTTTTTAAGATTCCCCTTAAGCGAAGGCAAAGGGAACAGTGCCCATACAGCCTAGTCTCTAGCTATATTAATCT